AAAAAAAAAAAAAAAAAAAAAAAAAAGCATGGCTCCTGCACAAGGATAGACAAACATAAGGGTCTCGTTAGACACTCCTAAAAGAATCCTAAAATTTTTAGCACGAGTCCTAAAGTTTTTTTAGGATTTCGTGCGGCGTCGTTACACGCAGTCCTAAAAATCATGTTTTAGGACTCGTCCTAAAAGGTTCCCCGCGGCCCGTTTTCATACGCGTATACGCAGCCCCGCCACCGATGTCCGTCCATTCCTCGGCGGTGTCCGTGGTGCAAAATGCGGTGGGCCTTGGGCGGGAGTCGACGGATCGGTGAAACGCGCGGTTCCCCAGAACTTCAAATTTTGAATTCGAATTTTCGCGGACGCGTCCGCCGTGCAAAAGACGGCGCCTCCCTGCCGACGCGTGTGACCTGAAAAAGACAGCGCCTCCCTGCCGTTTGCCGCGCGGAATCCATCTTTCGAGTGTACGCAACTTGCAAGGAGTGTGCGCATGATTGTGTGAGCCGCACGTTCGCCTCCGGCGTGTGTACCATCCTTTGGAAGCGTGGAGCACCGGACTCGTATCCGTCTCGTGTGCCATTGTACAGCAGCGTTGCCATCGTGGACTCCGGCGTTGTTTCTCTACGATGGCAGGGTTCCGCGGCGGGCGTGTTTGAGGCGACTGTCGAAGGCATGACGTGGCAAACCGTGCGAGGATTGGCAGAGATGGACAGTCATGGCTGCTCAAACGTTCTACGCGACGAAGAGATCGACGCTGTGGCGATGGCGGTGACTGCCGTCGTCGTAAACACGATAGGCGACAAGGAGTCCTCGTCGCGCGACATGCTGACGCGACTCTGGCAACGAAGATCGCTATTGCAGAGCGTTGCAGAGGCGCCGGATTGCGCGGCCACGTGTGAGGCAGTCGTCCAGTTGTGTGCCTCGGTGACGTCTGGCATTTTCCTGCGGCAGACTCTGCGATGGTGGATCAAACGACGGACTGGCGGGACATGGGAGGACCTCCGGCTTCGGGACGACGCGACGGACGAGTACTTCCGGCAGAAGCTGCGCATGTCGACGGCCATGTTCAACCACATCGTAGTCGCATGCGCCGCGTATATGGAGAAGAAAGTGACGCACTATCGAATGTCATTGCCAGTGGAGCAGCTGATTGCTTTCGCGTTATACAGGTGGGCGTCCGGAGAGACGTACGAGAGTGGCACGTCAGCATTTGGCATCGGCAGGGCAAGTGGACTGCAGGTCGTCCGCGACGTCACTTCGGCACCGCTGCAGGCGTACCCCGACGCGATAAAGTGGCCAATGGGCAGGAGACGTGCGCAGATTCTGCGCGCTTTCCGTGAGAAGGGTTTCCCAAACTGCTTCGGCGCTATCGACTGTACACACATCTACATTGACAAGCCCGCCGGCGCACCTTCCGAGAACTACTACGACCGCAAATAAAAGTTCTCCGTGCAGGAGCAGGTGGTCGTGGATTTGGATTTGCGGATCCTCGATGTCCACGTCGGATACCCTGGAAGTGTGCACGACGTCCGTGTCCTGCACAATTCCGAGTTGTTTAGGCGTGCAGGAAGTGGCGAGCTGTTCGACGCAACTCCGGAGAATCTGCCGCATGGTGTCGTCACGCGAGGCTACGTGCTGGGTGACAACGGTTATCCAGTTGCCTGTCCGTGGATTGTGTCGTAGTACGGAGGAATCGACCAAGGTGCTGACGAGGAGCGCTTCGACACGCGGGAAAAGGTGGCACGGAGGTGTGTGGAGAGGGCATTCGGCCGACTCAAGTGCATGTGGCGTCTGTTCTTGCGCACCCATAAGACGAACCTAGAGACCTTGCCACAGCAATTCGTGGTTGTCGGCACTCTCCACAATATCCTCCTGGACGCGGGGATCGACTTCGACGAGAACCTTCTGTGGGAGGTGGATGCGAACGGCGTTCGGCGTAGAGTGGACTTGGGCATTGTGGGGAACAGCGCAGGCGGGCGGGGACGGTGCACGAACGTGGAAGGTGAATTGTTGAGGGATGCACTGCGAGACCGCCTAGCTTTGATGTAGGACCGTGCGATAGGGAGGTGGTGCACACGGGGTGGTTCGATCGGTAGGCGGTTGGAGTTATTACGTGGTCCGTGTCCATGGTCGTCGTGCGAGTGGTTGGTTGGTCGATGGAGCGGCGGCATGATTGTCGTCGACGATTTCAGATTATCGTTTTCATGCTGTTGATGGCTACCTGGTTCGCACAGTTGTGCGAAGTTTAAAGATTGGAAGAACCTTTTTTTTGCCAGTGTGTGTCCTGGTCGTTAGGAGTTTTTGTCTTGTTATAATGTTTCCTGTCTTCAAATCGTTTGTGATGAACGGTATCGTGCGATGGGAAACACGGTTGTTGCTGTTGTTGTTGGTTTTTTTTTTTTTTTTTTTTTTTTTAATTTTTTTTTTTTTTTTTTTTTTTTT